ATATTTCCTTCCAAAGAAATGCCACTTGAAATCAGCCTATCTTCTCTAGAATAGGCTGGACACAGGGAACAAGTCCTCAGTTACAAATATCCCAGAGACAACAACAGCTTTAGTGTCTAAAAAAGAGCTATTGTTTCTTTTTTCCACAAAGGTTAAAATAAAAATGAGTTGGATAAATGAAACATTCTTATTTGTACTTCAACATTTCAATGAATGAAAATGGACTTGTAGAACACACTTCCTTGCCAGAGATGTTACCAGAGGCAAAACACTGAAGGAACAGGAATGCAGGGGAGGGGAGAGGCACCTACAGCACACCACACCATGTGGAAATGTGTCCCTGCTCCAACCCAAGCCCAATTAGGAAATGTGAAGTGGGAAAAAAGATCACAGCGGGGGCTTTCTGTTTTGGGTAACTAAAGGCTTCTTATGTTGAATGACTGAAGGCATGATGAAGACAATCAGGCCAGAGATTGATTAAAATATAGGATCCTGGAGAAGGCAGATTTCTGTGAGTCAGTCAGAAGAGGAATTCTCACTTGCATGAAGGGTAGGTGAGATTACTCAGGGGTAAATAAGGTTTTCTTCAGTCACCAGCCTCCCACCCTCCAGAGTCTGCTGCTACCCTTGATTCTACCTGTGGACTATTTTCTGTCAAATAGAAAGTATCTGACCAGTCTGGCTACTGACAAGCAGGCCCAATTTGGGACTATTTACCTAGAATCAATGTTCCCTGAGAAGGGTAAATGCAGGGTTAAAATCAACACAAGCTGAAAAGGGAACGGGGTAGTTAAAACCAGAGAAGACCAAGGAGAGGCCCTATATTATGCTGTGTTGTTCCAGAGGCACCGGTACTGCGTTGCCTAACAAGAAGACACACCACCACATTTAGTGGTCAGCTCCCTTTCAGGAGATGCCAGCATGAGCCAGGAGAGGAGAATAAATTGTTTGTTTGTTTGTTTGTTTAAGATCCACTCTAACCCTAGTAGGCTATGACTAACCTACACTAAATCGCGACTGGTTTCCCTCCTCTTCCTGGGAATGACTTCATAGAGGAGTGCGCTGATCAGCCTCAGTGATGAAAATAATTGGCACAACTGGGTGAGTCTTCTAAATTTCTCCTCCCAAATTGTCTGGCAAGATGAGCACCACAGTCCACATGTCTATCCTATACATCTCCTCTCCCTTCTCCATTTCTAAGACAAAAAGCTGTGCTCACTTTGAAAGTCCCTAAACAAAAACTTTTCGGTACTTCCTATTGTTTTCTGAACAAAACGGAATCGTCATTTCCCCCATGCAGTGGGCTGTGCTGTAAGGTTTGATGGTGCCGTACTGTTTGCTAGAACCAGGCCCACACTAAAGCATGTGAACAAACACTCAGCCTAGAACATCGATTTTACTTTAAGATTTGGAGGAACTAAGATGCCAGTGTCTGTGTGTACTGTTCTGTTAAAAAAAAAAAAAAAGCAAACATTACAGAAGAATGCAAAATTCAGAAGAGTTTTTAAGATGAAATACAAAGTTTTAAAGAAGGTGCTTGCTTGCATTGGAGGTGTTTATGGCTATATTTACGGATTCCTGAAGGAATATGTTCTTGCCCACAACAGAGTAATCGCATAGAGAAGTTTACTAAGCGAAGATTTACTCACGACCTTTAGACAGCAATTCTTGCCTTCTCTTTTTGGTTTTCCTATATGGAAATCCACAAGAAAAGACATTGGTCCCTGAAGATAAGCTGTGCTCGAAATCAGCTGTAAGAATGGCTCCAAATGATTTGTTTTAGCCTCCAGCTCATAATCTTCCCCTCCTCATACAAGTCCCAAATTCTTCAAAATCTTTATATAAATATTTAAATGCACTCATTTTTAGATTCTCCCCCAAGACTATTACAAAGTTCAAGATAAACATAGAGGAACACAAAGCTGCTTTAGAAATCCTTGTACTCAAAGCAGGAGAGTAGCTGTGAAAACCTCAGACCTATTTACGTACCTAAGTGCGATCTGGGAAGGGGGCGGGCTCCCAAGGGCAAGCCTGCTGGGTACAGATGAAACAATCAGCTTTCTCTGTGTCCAATTTGAGAATGCAGAGAAACACTTCTCTAGCACTCAGTTACAATGGCTGAAGTTGCAGGCCCTGGCTCAAGCATTTCTCTGTGCTATCTCATGTACTTATGCGTATGTAGCAGGTGTTACTCAATTTCCATGTGGGGAAACTGAGGGTCAAGGATATGAAAGATATCCAAGCCAACTAGCTAACTTACAAGTGACACAACTGCGATTCAAATTCAGGAATGACTTCAAAGTCATATCATTTTTTCCACCATATCATATGTCTTTTTTTCCACTATATCATCTGCCTCTTCCAGTTTGCCTCCTTTCCCCCCCCTTTAAACAGATCCTTTTCTTATTATAGTAAATTACTAGATGGCTTACCGTCCACCTAAAAGTCCAATTTGAAGCTTTAATTTCCTATTAGCAATTGTGACACTGGGGTTGGGGCGTCAAATGCATGGCTGCTTTTTTGTCTTACAAAATCTTCTAGTGTGTTGGGATTATTTAACTGCTATTAGGGCATAATCAATGCTTCAGCTCTCTGTAGGAGGGTCTGACACAAAAGCACCCATGTATCAGTCAAACCAATCTAAGCTCTAGCATTTATAGCTTTCTTCTCTTAACAGGTACAGTTTTCTGGTCACAGCAGGAACTCAGCTTATTTGTGTGTAGTGGGGCAAGGTTAATAGCCACAAAAGAAGTAGCCTAAATCTTCCCTGCAGTAAGACCAAAAGGTGCCTTCACTGTTCCTATTACATTCAGATAGACAAGACACCCTCCCTGTCAATCTATCCTGGGTAGAATAAAATGGAAAACAAATGATCCAAATTGATTTTTATTTCCCGCATCTCAGGATACAGATATAAGGCTATCTTAGTCCAAGAAGTACTGTATCACTACAAATACCTTCAGAGTAGTCTATGTCTGGAGCCTAGCTAAGGTTTTAAAAAAAAATCATTGATTCCTCTCTTTTCTCTGAATCTATCAATTTCTAAAATCCACTGTCCATTTTTCTCTTTCCCTCCACACTAATAGCTTCAGTTTATGTCTGACCTCTTTTCACGAAACATCACTGTAATTTCTCGAGTGTTTTCTCTAATGACTACACACCCTTCATAATGCCTGTTTATAATTTTGTAACCTATCAGAGTCAGTTTCACTGCTCATTCCAGATAGGCACTCAGCCAACATATTGCCAATAGCACTCACTCTTGTGCTAACTTAAAATACACAGCACAGCTTGCCAAGTCTCCTTATTTGGCAAGAAGGTCCCTTAGTTCCCAAGATCTTTGACCATCCATTTTTAGATCCAAATCCTCTAGCTTAATATTTGGATAGTTCTCTCTCTCGAATGTGTCCTTAAAGAATAAAGAAATGAGAATTTAAAAAAGAAAAAGAGGTCAGTCATCTATTTGCTTCCCTACAAAAGAAAAAAATGCCCTTGCCATGGCTTTATGGTTATTTATTTACTCTGGAATTATTGCCATTAAAACTTTTACTTAAAGAAATTATATTTTCCAGTTAAAAAAAGTCCCAAAACAATCCCAGAAAAGTTGTAGTAGTAATTAAATTGTGGAAGATTAAATAAACAGCACACATTGCTCTGAAAGACCATTTTTCTTTCTCTTAATTCTCTTTTCAAACAAATTCATATTCATTTACATCTCCCAAATCTCTCCCTCTTGTAGCAAGAATTGAAAACAAAGGCCTTACAAATGATCAAAACCATAATTACAAAGCAGCCACTGCATATTTTGTTGAAAATAAAAAAACATGAAATTTCACAGAGGAGACGGGCCTACTACAAAGAACATTAACTCTGTTGATTCACTGGTTTATTCTTGTCTTCAATTGTACTTGTAGGTTTGGACCTGACGGTTCACTTCAACTGAGCTCGGTAAGCAAGAAGGCACTCATGCAAGAGGGTGTAAATAGGAATACACTCCAAGAACCATCTTAACTCAGGTATCCCCGAGTTCATTCTCTAAGTCAATTCTGATGCAGCATTATTAATGAGAGCTGCCTATTGTAACAGCATTGGAAAGGACCACTACATAGTGCTGCTTGCATTATAAAGGAAACTAACAAAAATAGTAATTAAGTTCCCCATAAACAGTGCTTATGCAAGATTTCGAGGCACATGACAAACATACATTTTCGGCAATCCAACAATGCCCCCCCCCCTTTTTTTTTTTTTTTTTTGGCAATTCGATGTCCCCTCGCCAGTTTTGTATAAAAGTTTTTCCGCAAGCTGTCAGGAGGAGCGAGGCGTGGCGCGGCCGGGCTGCCAGCTCCGGGCCTGGTGCAGGTCTCGGGGTCCGCGAAGCGGGGGGCCCCCTCGGTTTCCAGGGAAGGCAAAGAGGGACTTGCAGGGGTGCGCGCGGGCGCCGCTGCACGCGGCCCAGGGAAGCGCGAGCGGGAGTGAAGCAGAAGTTCGGGGTCCCTCCCCGCACACCGCCCTCTGCGCACGGGAAGCGCCCGCGCCCGGCCCGGATTTTGGCCGCTCGCGTTCCGCTTCCCGAGAGGACCCCGGGCCCCCCACTCCGCCCGGGCGCCGGGCTCCGCTCGCCGGGCCCCGCGTCGGCGAGGGAAGCAGCGGGGCGCGGCTGGGAGGCGCCCCACGCCCAGCAGCGCGTCCAGGGCGGAGAAAGCCCGAGACGCTCCGGCTGCGCCCCGCTCTCGCCAGCGCCAACTTGTGCGCGGGACCGGCCCGACTTCCCGAGCCCTCCCGGCGCCGCGGCCGAGGTCCCGCGCGGGGCCCCGCGGAAGCCGGGAAGCTCGGTCCGGAGGCCGCCGCCCGGGCGGGCCGCGCGTCGGGGCGCCCGGCGCGACTCCCCGGCCCCGACCCCCGCGGGGCCTCGGCCCCCGGACGCCCGGTCAACTCCGCGCGCCATGGGCCGGCCCCCCTCCTGCCCCGCCAACCTCCGCGGCCTCGGGCCTGACCCTTACCTGGCTCCCGGGCCGGGCGCGAGCAGCCGGGGGCGCCGAGGCTCGGCGCGCGGCGAGGGCAGGGGCGGCGACCGGGGGTCGAGAGGACGCGGCCCGCGCGGCTCCCACGCTTCCGCCGGAGTCAGGAGTTGAACATTCCGCCTCTCCTCCCCGCGCCAATGAGGAAGACAGTCGCGGCAACAGCACCACCTACCTCCCGCCGCGGAACGGCCGGGCCTCCCTACCCGCTACTGGCACGCCCGCGGGACGGCTCGGCTCCGACGGGCGCCAGCGGGGCCCGGGCCCAAGGGGCACCTTCCGCTCCAGCGCCCTGGAACCCACCGAGGCCCCCTGGCCCCCATCCCGGGGGCGCTGAGCGGGGCCCACCCGCCCCCCAGAGGCACCTGCCCTAACTTGGGGGTCTCGGGAGAGGGCTCTTCGGCCAGGTGGCCCTTCACGTCTTTTGTATAAAAGGCACCTAACGTGGCAATTCGTTTCTTATCAACAAATGTTTACTGAGAAACAGGCGCTGGAAATACAAAGAGCTAGGTTTCCTCACGCCCCACGGGAGTCAGTTATCTAGTTGGGGAGGAGACAGATGTGTGGAAATCTCTCTGGGGAGATAGGTCTGCAGGCTGCCTCCGTGCAACCATCAGTAGATATTTTGAGGTAGAATTTTGAGGAGAGCTCGTGGTCTACTGCCCGGGTTGGTGGTGACTTTAACCAAGTCGAGTCAGATGAGGAGACATTTAGAGAGGTGGAAATGGGTATGTGGGAAAGAAAAGTTCTGTGGACTGGGAAGCATGGCTCTGTGCAGGGAAAGGTTGGGAAAGCAGGGGCAACATTATCTAGGGGTTTGCATTTGAATTGTATCATCTGTGGATACTGGGCATCTACAGAGAGTTAGACCCAAAGGAGAAAAAATAGATGTTAGTGCATTTGCTTTAATGTGGAATGTTAAGAAAGCCGTCTGCCCAGCTGGGCCGTGGGTTGCAAGAGCAAAACTAGGAAGCAGGAGCAGGGGTAGAGATTGTCACTACCTGCTTATGGGATTGAATTTCAGTTACAAAATGGACGAAGTAATGGAATTGAGAGACATGTTTCAGGAAGAGGCCACAGAAATTGGTGAGCCACTGAATATGAAAGAAGGGCAGCGTGAGAGACAATGCCAAGACTTCAGACCCGGGTGACTGGGAGGATGATGCTGTCACTGACAGAAATAGGGGTCTGTGGAAGAGAAGCTGCCTTCCTGCTGACTATGAGGTCATGGCAGAAAAAACAGGTAGAGATGCAGCAGTTGAAATCTGAAACTGAGTCAGAAAAGAGGTCAAGGGAAATATAAGTGTAAATCATTCATATATTATATATATGGAAGTAGAGGGGTGGGTGACTAGAGGTTACAAAATACAACTTTCTAATCTGTTATTTAGATGAACTATTGGATTCCCTTTGATAAAGACTAGGGATTTTAGCATCAATGGATCCTATTTTGGTAACTGAGAAATTAGGATTAATGAAACTGACATGCTAAACAATTTCCTGATGTAAGTAATCAAATAAGTCTAGAAATCATCTAGCCATTAAAAAGAAAACAAATTCATTAGCATAGATCCTGCTTATGGCAAGTCAGGTCATTTCACCTCACCTTCGAAGGCACTAGACTGTGATGGAAAAGCTATGCACTTGGGCCCAGAGCAGGAGAACCTGGCCTCTGGTCTTACTCTCCAATTTACCTGCTGGGAAAATTTGCTAGGCTGACTTCAGTTTCCTCCTCCACAAAAGAAGAGACCCCAAGTAGTTGTTAGCTACAGATTCCAGGTTTAAAGCAATGTGTTGTTTTAAATTTAGAACACATGCCTCTAGGGTCTTAATATTTTTAGCCATATTCCCCTTTCTTCCTATCCATTTTCCTTCACCCTTTCTCCCCCACATAATTAGGTTACAGAATAACCAGCAGGAACAGTGAACACGAGGAATCTCACAAATATGCTTAAATGATAATCTGATAGGCATTTTCTTGTCTTTCCAATTAAGTTGGGAGCTCCTTGAGGTCATAGCTTATATTCTATTGTATCTATTCATAGTGAAATAAATACATAATAATTGTGTGGTAAACTGATTGCTTCAAGTCTGATTTTTCTTTGTTCAAGCTGTCTCTTTCTTTATAATTATACTGATCTCTTCAGGTTCCAGACCTAACAAATATACTCTAATGCTTTTTCCCATGGCTGACTGTTTTGCTTTTTCAAACTTTCAACTATTTTGAAAGTGTTTTGGTTAATTCTCACCAGGCAGAGTATAGGCTTACAAAAAATGTAAATAGCAGTAGCAAAAGAGACCTACTCGAAACTCTCTTATCAAGCCTTCCTATTTCTTTACTTCAGATGTCTCCATACTAAAAATAGATATACACTCAGCAATGGGGTGGCTTGGGAGTCCTTAGAACCCTCTTCTATCCAAGAACACCCTTGAAAATAATCATGCAATGTAACTGAAATCAGTATATTTGCTGTGCAAATAAAGTTTAAAGAAAGTTTCCTAGCACACCCATTCAATCAAATTGTCTGTTAGCAACGCTTAAATAGAAATGCCAGAACTGTCACCAACTACCAGTGGATCAGAGACGTGCAGACATAAGTTCTATTAAGGATGGAAGGAAAGGTGACTTAAAAGGAAGAAATCATTCCAAGCTTCTTTCCATCCCTGTACAGTGATAAGAACTATGATCAAGCTGGTCCCTCGGAGCATTTTCTCTAGCCATCTCGGGTTTCCATCTTAGATTGTGAGTCATCTATGTCTGCGTCATAGCTAAGAATTAACCAGCATTTTTTTACAAAGACTGGTGCTATACCTCCTGCGCAATTGGGAATCCCTGGGAAATAAGGCAGGCAGTCACAATTGCTGTGAGATAAGGAACCATTACCTGAAAATCACAAATGAATCCTAAGTTATTGTTTGAGCCTAGGATTCATATCTAACTTGAGAACAAAAGAGTCACAGAATATTTTGAGTACCAAATTTACTTCGATGTTCCTGGCTAAGAAAGGAACAGATGAGCAAGAAGAGAAATTGGGAATACGTAAAAAACATATTCAAAAGCATTTACTGTGTGTCAGGCATTGTGCTGCACTTTGTGATTCTATCAGTGAACAAGACACCGGCCCTGCTCTCACAGTTTTCAGAGTATCATGGGACGGCTGGTAAAAACATAAATATACTGGGACGGCTGGTAAAAACATAAATACACTGCAGTGTGGTGAAGGAGTAACCAGGGGGCTTGAAGCAAAGCACCTACCACAGTTTTGGGAGACCAATGAAGCCTTCTGAGAGAAAGGAGCTCAAAGTCTACAAGAGAAGAATGAGGAGAATTTACTGGACAAAAAGGAGGGAAAGATACCTCAAGTGAACAGAAGAGCAAGTCCAAAGACCCAAAAGCATTAAAACAAGTTCAAGGAATAGATCCCTTAGAATCTGAGTAAGGACATTGCCAGAGGAAGTGATGACTCATGGTGGTAGTAAGAAGCAGTAACAATGATGATAATGACGGCTAATATTTACTGTGTACTCTAGTGCAATGCACTGAGCTAAGTGTTTTATACAAACCTCTCCCCTTACTATAACCATAGATAGAAAATCCTGGCCAAATTTCAATCATTCCCCTATCCATGTTCCTTTTGTATTATTCTTTCTCAAATTTTCCCAATGAATATTTTTATAAGTTCTACCTGATTTTTTTTGCCAGCATTGCCTTTCCCCTAACTTTTTAGTGTCCATTGTATTAAGTCCCTGTCGGCCTTGTTGTTTGTAACACCTTCCAATTTAGTATCATCTGCAAATTTCATTAACATGCTATTTACTCCCTCTTCCAGATCATTAATAAATGCTATTTCTTATGTATTAAATTTTGCGGTCGAATAGATTTAATTTGCTGTTGTAATTTCAATGCATGTTTTCTAAAGATACAATGCAGTTAAGAATGGTCTTAACATAGGCTTAAATCCATACCCAGTTTATGGTTATTTTACTATTATGCCATCCATTTGTGTTCTCTAATCAGCACTGTTGTGAGCTCCATTGAAGCAATAATCTATTGATTTTCCCTTCCCTCTTTTTCAATACAGTCATCACTTGGCTTTAAATGCACAGCAATAGCAGAGCTAGAACTATTGTTGTACTCTAATCCACATCCACAGCTATTTATAAAAGGAAATGAAGTCCTTTTTTTCCCCTCAGTGGCTATCCTTCCATTGATATGAAAAATATTCGACATTAAAAATTACTTTATAACCATAATATTTGATCTTCCTGTGCATGGTATCAATGTTCTAATAAAAAAAAGAAGAAACAGATTCTATATCTTTTTTAAACAAGTAATTGTAGTGTGTGTGTGTGTGTGTGTGTGTGTGTGTTCATCTGCTCACTGACTCCCTGACTCCTGGAGAATCAGGGACGACTTTGTTTTTTCAAGTAGACTTAAATATGCCACCTTCAAATCCGAGAAAGAGGTTCATTAAGCATTTGCTTCACTTCATGTCACACATCATCCTACTTATTAGGTCTTCTGCAGGCCCAGTTTTCATTTTCAATGAAACGAAGCTTCCTACATGCCACTTATTGCAACCTTACGTTCACATATTACAATTCTAAATCATTATACATGAAGTTAGTCTTCATGTTTCTACATAATAATATTTCCAGGAACTGTGTGTGTGTGTGTGTGTGTGTGTGTGTCTCCTCTCATGTGTACTGAGAAAAGGCCATGTGCAGGCACAGTAAGGAGGCAGCTGTCTGCAAGTCAGGAAGGGAATGCTATATCAATGGCACCTGATCTCACAGTCTCCAGAGATGTGAAAAAATAAATATTTGTTGTTTCATGTACCCAGTTATAGTATTTTGCTATGGCTACTCCAGCTGACCAATACAGAAGTACTTCTGTTGTATGTATGTTCTAACACAGTGACAGAGAGAGCAAAGTTAATTACCTAGCTTGTTCATGTAGTTATAAATCCCTCCCTCTACATATAGATGCATATAAACATGTTTGCTCAATTATTTAATTATCTTTACCAAAATTCTCCTTACCACCAGATATCAGGAAAAATAAAAGAGTTGGAATAACTGGATACTTGTCTTAATGTTTCACTTCATTAATATAAAGCAA